AAGCTAATGGAAAAAAGGAACCTGGGTAATACTAACTTGGATGGGCCTACAAATGTACATCAGTGTGTTTAGTGGTTGAATGATTAGTGGTAGAACTATATGTGTTTATTTGATTGCCAATGCTGATATCGTTAGAGAACAGGGTGGCCGATAGATAATATAATGCTGATATACAGTATATGATAATTATCCATTCTCGTCTGTAAGCTTGTGGGGATGCTGGAAAATATAATATCACACTGTTTAATGATAGTAAACAACATGCATAACAATTGTTGAAATTCAATTTATTTTTCATTATGAAAATGAATCAATATTTTAAAAATTACTTTTTTTTTAAATATACAAAATAAACCCTTTAATACTTTACAGAGCAACTTTATGATTCTGTAATCCTATTATAGTATTTTTTACAGTAAACTAATGAAGAATGGGAGCGCCTGTGTATCTGTGCTCAAGAACTGGCATTCTTAAGTGCTGACAAAATAAAGGTCCTGTTCTGACACTTATCAGCCAAACAGAAAAACTTTGTGATAATTAAAAAAATGCAAATATCATCAAGGCCAATGTATTGGTTGACCACTAGCTTTGCTATAGTGTTATTTGACCTTTATTTGAATCTTAACCGGGTTATAATATTAATTTCCACCAAAAAGGCCACCAGAAGTTCATTTCATTAAACCCTTTCCTCAACCCCCTCTCTGTTGCAGTTACATCTATGACCCCTCAGCTCCTGTAGAAGTTCCTGGTCAGAAGCGGGACCCCACCAGCAGCTGTCTGTATCAATCTCACAGATTCCCAGAGGAGGTGGACCACATTCACAAGAAACAGGGCTTCCACAACCTGGCATACAGCAACCAACCCAGTCCGACCAAACTCGACATAGACAACAACCACATCAACCGGCTCCATGCTAACATTCCAGGCGAGCAGATCCGATCGAGCCCAGCAGAGGGTGATCCGAGTCTTTACATCCTCCAGCCCGAGGGCGAGGGGACACCCATAAAAGCCGCCCCCACCTTACGCACCAACCCACCCATACAGAACGATTCGTTGTTGGGAACGGAACCGGGCAAGCGAGAGGACAGATTTCGAGACTCTGGGCTGGGCGGCGGAGGGATAACGGACGGGACAGAGGGATCGGATGGTTATCCCTATGGACAGGAGGATGAAGATGGGGACAGGAAGAGCAGGCTGGCCATTACTCCGGACACGGCCGATGAGGAGAGTGTGCTGTCTGTGGACATACACACCAGCAGTACGAGCCTCTCCTCAGCAGACACAAATCTCATGGTAGAGGACAGAGAAAAGGAAGAACCCTCGATCGTGAGAGGAGAGCAAGAGAGAGAGAAAGAGATCGATTGTGTGAGCGTCACAGACTCAATGGTGGCAGAGGCCTTGGCCGCTCTCGATGCTGCAACTGCGGGAGAGGATTCTGAGTGACACACTAGTTAATGGTGACTACAAGGGAGATTTCCATACTCACTCTCTCGCTCACCCTTCATATTTGAATACAGCCAAATAATAGTGCTCATGAAATGAAGCTTTCCTGCAACCTGTCTGTAGGTACTTTTATTTTGAATGGGAAAAAAAATCAAATGAAGACTTGATAACAGGAACTGCTGGTTGTTTACACAACAAAAACTGACCACTTATGAGACTTACTTGAGCAAATGAAGGTCATGGACAAATTCAATTCTCAGACCAAACAGAAAGTACTGTTGCGTGATTTTCCTCAGTGCTGTTTTGTACACGGCATCATAATGAAATAAGCTCTGTTTCTCTGTTTCTCCATAACATAATGAAAGTACTCTTCTTCTGTAGCGTCTGTTTGGATCTGGGGCTAAATCAATCTAAGCGCTACATAACAACTATTTTCATACATTTTCTATACAAAGAGGTGGTGAAAAACAAATAAGCCAGTGTCCTGGTGTGGGGTTACTTCTGTGCTTATTGTACTTTTAGAGACGTTATATGATTATATGATCAAACTGCTCTATACAGTGAAATCAAGTTCATTCAGTCTCAACAGATCAATATGCTATTTCTTGCTTGTTACACTGTGAATAAATCATCAGTCCCCTTATAGAGCTGTAGGACGACGTGCTTTATTTATGCACATAAATGTGCAGCAAGAATTGTGGGTGAATCTCATGAAAACATATTTCAACCTAAAATAAAAAAGGAAATTATATTTTATAAGTTTATTCTATATTTTTAATGACTGTTCTTAAATTTTTATGTATAGACAGTAAAGATAATTTGAGAGGGAAAGACTGCAAAGAATCTTAATAGTACAGTGCAAAAACATTTTTGAAATATGATCCATTCATGGTAGATTTCATGAGATTTGTCCTTGTATATTTATGTTCATGTTGCACTTTGTATGTTCTAAAAGCAGTGTGTTGAGGAATCAGGCCAGTGATGGTAGTTGATGCTGTACACTCAGAGGCTGTATTCATAACTAGTCCTGGTTAACTATCAGAGAGGCCTGATGAAAAAGAAGCCTACTAATTTAATTGTACCGTATGACACTCATATATCTCATGCAGACATTTCTATACATTAGTAAAGAAATGTTTTTGTTTTTTTTCAGAATAAAAATTTTGTAAAAAAAACAATACCCCTTTGTGATATCTTTATGAAGGTCATTGAGTATTTCCAAATGTTTTACCAAGTATCCATTGGTTGAACTTTATGTGTTGGTCAGAATCATTTCTTTTAAACCTGTTATTGAGTAAATGTAATTGACAGGAACTGATTTTCTAATGATGACATTTTGACTGCATTGAATGATTTGAATCCAGTGCACATTCACAGTGAATTTGCTGTTTATATTCCATTCTTTCTGCTTTTACCAGAGGACAGAATTGTCACATGAACCTGGGGAAAATAAAAACAATGTGCTTGATCATAAGACTTGCGATGTAATCTTTTGACATTTCTGTCTTGTGGATAACGATGCCGTAGGGCCTTTTATATAACCTAATGATATCTCCCTCCAGCCTCACTGGCCAGTAAGACATAGTCTTGAAGTGTATGACTGCTATATTGTGCTGAAACCCAAAGAGATCAGATATTGGGAATTGTGAGGTTTGTACAATTCTGCAAATGTCTCACGACAAAATACAAAATACATGATTAAGATACAGATATTATGCACCATTTTATATTATGATGATACATTTAATGAGTGTGAGGGTGAAAATAAGCCACATTTGACTGGGTATAACATCATATGCAACCATTAAATGGCTTGTATTATGAACGGTTTCAAAAGATTTTCGTCCTGTAGTTCTGTAGTCCGTTTCAAACTCCGTCTTTTTGTCTTTTCTCTTTCGTAGTCAGTTGTTTTGATACAGCAAAAACATTTCTTTAATGATTTGCTTGTCAAATTTGTATTCAATCTTAGTTAAATTGATGCTTTGATCGCTAAAAGTAAAGGTTGCTTTTAACAGTACAAGAGGCCATACTGATACCAGTTTTTTTGGATAAAAGAGAATCGGATCTGGTTTGACGAGTAAGAGCAAGTCATATCATTTGGGTATCTGGTGTTTATAGAGCCCTGACTTGTGTTGTTTAGTCATAGACAATAGAAGCCAAAAATGCAAATGTGGTTATTAAAATTCCAAATAATTATTTTTATTTACAAGAGGGTTTTACAAGTGTCTCAGAAATTAAATTATACACTGCGGTTCAAAAGTTTAGGGTTGTTAAGATTTTTACAATTCTTTTGAAAGAAGTCTCTAATATGCAACAATGTTGCAATTATTTGATCAAATACAACAGGGATATTGTGAAATTATTCAAAATAATTATTTTCTATTTTAATATACTTCAAAATGTATTTTATTCCTGTGATAACGAAGCCATTATTCTAGTCTTCAGAATAGTCACACAATCCTTCCGAAATCATTTGAATAATGCCGATTTGATGCTCAAGAAACATTTCTTATCAATGTTAAAAACAATTGAACAAACCTTTGTGTGGACATCGTCATGCAATCTTTTTGATGAACAGAAAGTTCAAAAGAACAGCATTTATTTGAAATTAAATTAAATTCCGTTTTGTGACACTAAATATATTTAGCATCGCTTTTGATCAATTCAGTGCACCCTTGCTGAATAAAAATATTGATTTCTTAAAAATCACTGACTATATAAATTATAGCCAGTATAGAAAAATAGAAACGATATCAAGTATTACAAGTTAAATACACCATTTGTGCAATAACTAAAAACCTGAATTCAGTTTCCTTTATAGCCAAACACAAATGATCAACACCAAAGGTCCAGCCGTTTCTACATACAGCACAGACAACATGAAACAACCTGAATAAATCTGCTGCGTTGCTGAGCATTTACATCTCTTTAAAGTCTGTGTGGGCTTGAGTTAATGATTCACAAATCCAAAAACATATGCAGACTAATAATACTCCACAGGTTAACCATTTATAAGCTCCAGACTCATACAGTTACTGCACATTCTTGTTGCTTAATGATTCCTTCTTCCTAGAAATATCCTGATGCATAAAGTACAAAAATAGTCCTCGACTCACACACAAAAAAATTTTTATATAATGCACAAGGTCACATACTTTCCAGTAGGTCATGAGTAAGTAGGCAGCAGTCACGGAGAGATGGGAAAGATAGGCCTTCAGCGTTTTGAGTTTTGGAAAAGCTACAGACCTGAAGGTCATTAGTGCTGCACCAGTCACCTATTAACAGACTCTTACTGATCTTTAGCCACAGTCCAGCTCTAGAAAACGTATTACAGATCCAAGAACCTCTTGCGCCTCACTATGAATGAAGGCTCTGAGAGTTTGTCGTGCTGAGAACGCTGGCAGGACATAGAGAAGTTAAAGTTTCTTAAAGCCATTATCTTTGAGCTTACACTGACCTCAGAGCATTCAGTGTAGCAAATGTGCAAGTACACGGTGTGGGAAAGTGTCGTGATGGTGGCTTGTGGGTACAACAGAATCAAAACAACCAGTCCAAGGTGTGTTTAACCTTTTAATGTATAAATACTGGGTACAAAACCTTCAGTAAAATATAACAGCACATTCTCACTCATTTTCTTTAAATAATTCTTCTTACACATCTTCATGTTTCTGTAATTCTTGTCGATTTCAGAAGCAACAGTACTTGAAGTGACACATTAAGATAAGTAAGGTTAATATCATTTCAGTATGAATACCTTTAACTAAAATTTGAACAGGAAGTCTATGAGCAACATTTATTTAAACTATTCGTTCCAGCACTTCAAGCTCATGTGCAATGAGCTAGAAAGCCTATAGATATTTTGAAGTCTACCTGTACGGTGTTTGAGCAAAAAAAAAAGGCAAAACGAAATCAGTGGCACAATAATGACAATGTTAATTAAAGGCAAAATACATTTTAAAAAGTCTGTATATTTATTGGAGTTTTGGTTAAAATACTCAGGATTATTAAAAGTCCTATATTTTGGTCCTCTTTGCCTATGCTTGGCACTAAAGCAAAGACACGTTTACCTTTTTTGTGGTACCATAGATTGTTTTGTTTTTTCAAAGATAATAATATGAAGTATAGTGAAGGATATAGTCTTATCTATTTGTGTACGCTTGACATTATATCACTAAATGAGCTACAGACTTGATAGAGCCTCTGAACTCTGTGGACACATGCAAGCTATACAGAATCATGAAACTAAGAATGTTTAACATTTCGAAACTGTTGAGTGTTCGGCAGAATGGTGAATTGAATCGCAGTGCTCTGTCCCAGACCAGACATCACCAGGCAAACTTCCAGTCGGGTAAGGTGTGCTAGGTTTATAAATTAATCTATTAAATATGCAATTTCACTGGTTTACAGAAAAATGTTATCAAAAGACAATTTAATTTATTTTAAAAAAAACAAAGGTGAAAAGGTGTATATAGTGAAGAGATCAAGCCCAGTCCATTTAAGATGGCAACAGGTTAAGAAAAAAACGTTTAGTCTGGATTGTAACCAGTGAGAAATTTCATGGCTCTGTTTTTCTGTTTATCACAGCTTGCAATGAAAAAGAAAAAAAGGAAAAAGAAAAAAAAAAACCCTGAACAATACTTCCCACTTCCTGGAAGTAGCCCAAAGAGGCACATGGCGAAGATCTCCGACCACAACGCCAGCTTGGATTAAACATTGACACGCTCATAGTCACACATGACGCCATCCGCCACTGATAATGACACAAGGGTGTTTGAGAAAGGTGGGTTGGCATGGTGACAGGTTAATTTATATAAAATGGCTTCTGCTGCCTTTCCACAACTGACATGACAGAAAGGAGGGTTCGCATCCATCATCCTCTTTTCCTCCTCCATCATCACATCTCTCATCACAGTTTGAGGCGTTCTCCCTCTCTTTAGTCCTCTTTGGAAGTGTGACTTCCCGATTAAAATCTTTTTAAAATGTCACCCGAGAAGCTGCTGGAACTCTACAGATGTCACTTTGCACTGCCTCCTTTATCCTAAAGACAAACAACACACAAAACGAGGATAAAAATAACCCTTGATGAACTCTTTGGAGAGTTTGCTTAACCTGCATTAGTTTTCTTCCACACTAAAGCCAGTCACCTGTGACTTTGGGCCTGTGATGCGTTCAGGGGGGTCAGCGTTAGCAGGTGAAGGGGGAACACTACCATTGGGCTCAGTGATCAACAATGTCCGCCTATCCCGGGCCGATTTGGGGTCACACTTTGTCACCCGGAATCTAGAGGAAAGAAAGATGTAACAGATGATGAGTATAGTGAAAGACTATAAATTAAGAAGACAAATGACGAGGTACAGACTGAGCAATCATACTCTGACTATAGAGACGGGCAGATATCGACAGAACTGGCTACCCAAAGCCGCATCTGCCCATACTGTACCCATGGAGAAGTGGAGACAGAGCAACACTTTCTCACCCGCTGCCCTAACTATGAAGAAATTAGAAAGAAATCGTATCCAAAATTTGAAACACTTTGCCCTGACTTTAAAATGTTAAACAATAAAACACAACTTCAATATTTATTATGGGAAAAAAGAGATTACTAGCAGCAAGATACATAAATGCCAGTCACAAAAAGAGGGAGGAGTCAACAAATCAGTAATGCACCCACAAACACACACACACCACAATCAATTTTAAATTGTTCATAGAATTGTCATGCCAATAAAGCACAAATTGAAAGTAAAAGTAAACACAATTTGTTTTTATTTATATATATATATATATATATATACAGTACATAGAGTAGCTATAATTTAGGGCCTCATGAAATAAGTTGATTGCAAAGTTACTTATAATCAGTAGAATGGGGGACCATCAAAATAAAGTGTTACCTTTACTTTTATTAATAATAGTAATAAATCAATGTATAATGTTTACATTCACTGTATAATTATTATTTCTTGTTATTATTATTACTTTGAAAGGTACATTTTAATATACAAAAAAAATAGTAGTAGTTATACATTTCAGTCATAATTTCTACAAGTTGCAACAACCTATTATTTTGCGGGTTTGTTGTGAAGACCTTTTGAATTGTATAATGCAATAGGTTTTATCAAATAAAACAATGAAATGCTTGTAACATGAACTATCACAAAAAAAACTGTAGAGATGAAGTTCATGTGGAGTGTCCTCATATAGTGAGACAGCAGACGCTGAAAACACCATGAGCGTGATGCCTGCTTGAGTATGTGTAGTACATCCAGACTTTTTAGAAACACCTCTAATCATCTAAATATAGGCTATATTTCTTCTTTCTATTTTTTCAGATAAATATCAATATCAATTTATTGCCCAACTATAACCTCATTGACAGCTTTGCGCCGAATGCTGTGAGCTTGAGCCAATACAAGGCAGTCGTGGCTTGTATTGGTTAGAGAGTTGCAGGTTCGAGTCTCAGGTCCGGCAGGAATTGTCGGTGGGGGGAGTGAATAACCAGAGCTCTCTTCCACCTTCAGTACCATGACTGAGGTAAGACCCTTGAGCAAGGCACTGAACCCCCAACTACTCCCCGGGCGCCGCAACAATACGGCTGTGTGTTCACGGTGTGTGTGTGTGTGTGTGTGTGTGTGCGCGCACTTGGATGGGTTAAATTCAGAGTATGGGTCACCATACTTGGCCACACGTCACTTCACTATATATAACTTCACTATATATAACTATATAAAGTGTTGTACGTAACACACACCTGCCTACAGACAGCACTGTGACCTCTCCTACGTAACTGCGTATGTCCAGTTTTTTGCTGGATGGGCGTCTCATCAGAGGCCATTTTTTCTGGTTGCAGCGGTTGCAGATGTTCTTATGTCCTCCGATCCCTCCGATGGTGTGCAGGTGGTTGCAGGTGTGTTTGGCTGCGCTGGGTGGCAACCCTGGCAGTGCAGGGCTCTCTGGGCTGGCGGGTGTGTTTGGAGAGGTGGGCGTCACAGGACGACTGTAGGAAATTGAACAGAAAAATATCAGCTTAACTGCATGAAACTGCATGACGAACTAGTTACATTTGCCAAAATTTGGTACATACAACAGAGAACACTACACTACACTTTCACTAAACCCTGAAAGCTTTTGCTTCTATATCTGAAAGGTACTATATTTTAGCTGAAATACAGCACAATTGGAGCAGTTACTTTAAAAGACAGACCAACTCTCTCCCCTGCTGCTTTATCCGTCTTCTCCTCTCTCCTTCTCCCTCTATTTATTTTGTCCTTCCACTCTGCCAACTAAAAAAAAAAAGAGGGAAATGCAGTGGTCCTTCTCTTATCTGTCTTCATTACACTGCAGGATGTTGTTCTGCTCTGTGTGCATATGCACGTGTGCCTCATTTGAGAGGCAGAGGAAGAGCAGGACAGATACTTCAACTGCCACCTGCAAGAGGGACTATGAGGAACAAAGGAGCAAGAGACACGCATGCAAACACACACAACACCAGAAGTGTATTCGGTGTGTTCTGCAATGGAAGCCACAACTAAAACGTGAAATCAGTTAGTTAGATCATTTACTGTGTAAACACTGAATGAAAAAGGTATTGTCACTTTAAAGCAGTCATTAGGGGGTCAAGGTTCTGCTGGTTGCCATGGTCTCATTAGCCCCTGCTGGTAGATGTTGTAACTACACCTTCTAGCTGCCAGTGTTGAGTTCGCTATAAGTTAACTACATGTTACTAGCCGAACTACATTTTTCAGTAGCGAGGTTACTTTTAAAATAGTGTAACATTTTCAGTAGCGAGCTACTTTTTCAACCAAGTAGCAGTGTAGCGACACAAAACGCTATATCACTATGCTTAAAATATTAAATGAAATGCCCAGCTGGCAAAAGATTCATTCTTTTGAGTCAGTTCTTTTTGAGGAATGCATCAAACGATAAGCAGAGCGATCCAAAATGATTTGAGATTCAGGCTGATTCATCCAGCCTGTTTGGGGTAAAACTGTACAGCGGTGTATTGATAATGCACAGAACAAAAAGAATGCGGCTCTTGATAAAGTGAAACATTTACCTACTCATAATTTAAAGCAGCTTTTTCAACACTGCTAGCTGCAGAAAGCATCTTTATTCACTTTCGAACTTTTACAAATAGCCACTGACTTCTGACGAAATAAATTTTGCAAGCATGTAAATTGACATTTAACTTGCAAAGCCCTCCACTCAAGCGCCACCCCCGGACTCATGTCCCCATGGATGCCCTGTGCGCTCAGTAATTGTCTGGAGAATGGACAGCACAACATCTCCTCTGCAGAACACCCAATCACCCTTCATTTTGAGCACCACTCCTTATTTTCCTCTTCTTCTCTTGACTTCCTAATCACTCCATCCTGAGCTCCTTTTGTCACAGCATCTGATTGCTCTAAACCTTTCACTTTCCCGATGCTCTGCTCCTCTTTTCAGTCTCTATTTTTTGGTCTCATACTTGTGTTCAAAATAGTAGGAATCAAATCCACTCTGCTGCTTATACAGTGTGTCAAGCAGAGTGACGTCATTGTTCAACTCAAATCTATTATTCACATGAACACTCAGACCAACTGAAACACACACACACACAACGTCAAAGGAGGACATTTGGGGAAAAGGAAGGATTAAAGGAATTCCCCAAATTGAAACCCATATGAACCTTTTCTTCCATGGAACACAAAAGGAAACATTTTGAAGAATTCTTCTATATCCTTCGATAAAAGGCACCACAAAGGTATCATAAAATACATTTATTTTTATATATATTTAAAATGTAGCATTGTACTTTTTCTCATACGTTTTCAGTGAATTGGTTTCATCGGAATGATTCATTCAGGTTCTTTTACTGATTTGATCTGGTCCCAACAGTTTTCTTGAGTTAAAAGCTCAATGGAGGGGAAGATTATCATTGAATAATGGCTATCATATGAGTTCAGAAGTCTTAAAGTACACATTTAGGACCACTTTTAAGATTTTATGGCCCTTTTCGTTAAAGCTTGAAAGCAACCAGTTTATTTATCTCCTTTTTGTTCCACTGCGGAAATAAAATTGTCATTCACAGATTTGTCTTTCACAGATTTGTAATGACATGAGAGGGAGTAAATGATGACAGAACTTTTTTTTTTTATGAGTGAACTATCCCTTTAATCTAGTGACTGATGTGTAAGACTGTGAATTGCATAAGATGCATGAAACAGTTCAAATATACCATTTCAGGATGAATAAACATTCACTCATGTATTTTGAAATGCTACAGGAATAAGGTGCAGTACAGGTATATGAGCAATTTGAGATTTTAAAAAAAGTGAAGATCCCTTGAAAAGATTAAAAAGGACCTTAATCTTGATGTCACAGCATACATTTTCAGTACTAGGCAATTAACTTTCACCTTCTATAAACTGATGTCATAATGCTGATAAAATAGAGCACAATGACATTTACATACATCTTAAGGTGAGACGAATGCTCGACCCAGACTCATATTCTGTGACTTCTCTGTATATGTGGTTTTGAAAGTCTTCCTGGATCTAATTCTGGCTTGCAGCGGTGTCAGTGATTGATGCTTTTGTGCTTCATGGTGATTTCCCCCAAAATGTGTCATATGAGACAGACAGAACCACCTTTATGCCTCAATGCTACTCTGTCTGCCCTCTTGTGCTGCTGCCGTTATTTAAGAAGTGACATCGCCATCTTGTGGGGAGATGGGACACTGACTTACAAAACACCTATTGAGTTTTGTATGCTAACAAATACATCCATGTCTAATGAAACGTTCATGCTTGTTTTACAAGTATGCTACTGTATTACTGTATATAAAGTTTATATACAGTGAGGATCCAATATGCTGAGAGCTAGTGAAAATACTTCTACTTAGCTTTTTGTTCTAACTGAACAGACTACATATTGAATTATCACCATAATAAGGTGAATTTAAATGAATAATGGAAATGAATTTGTTAGGTTTTTTACTAAATATGCCAGTTCAGGACACCATTACAGAGAGAACAGAAAACAAATATAGGTAAGACATAAACAACAAGGTCTTACCCCTCCGATTCTATACTGTCCTGAACCATGGCTTTGAGTGCGTCGGAGTTGGCTGGTGAAAAAAATGAAAGAGAGAGACTTCTTAAATTAGCACAGAGAGTCTGCAGCCTCAGATGCAGAACCATTAAGCAAACTGAAGTCTTCTGACTAATGAAAGCAGCCGACTGCCTTCTGATGCAACTACTACTGCAGCACATATTCGCAATTACAGTGGACAGAGCGTAGTTTCAAGCTATCATTTGGTTTCATTTTGAAATGACATCGGGGTAGTTTCAATTTAAAATGCCTTCAAAAAGGCGATCAACTTTAAAATGTTAACATTTTCGCACAGTGGCACATGAATTGTGCAATCACTGGCAATGAAAGTGACTAGCACTTCACAAAACTTTCAGTTCCTTCCGTTTACACAGAAGAACATCTTATCCATTTTAAGATGCTGACTGCTATATACCTTCTTATTAAACATCCACTAGATATGCAGGAATATGTCGGTTTCTGAAACGATAATGTGTTGCTAGGCATGCACCATGACCAAACAGTGGACATGGAGCGTCATGAAAGATGCACACACAAATACACAAGACACATGCAGCAGTAATATCACTTCCTGTCCACAGTTCGTGTCATACTAATGGGGACGAAACGGTTTAAAATGCTGTTGATCAGATGGTGTCACCATGGAGTGACCATTGATGTTTTTCTAAACAGGTTCAAACAGACCAAAACCAGTTCCACTTTTTTATCTATATTTCATTCTCAGATCAGTTTCCCCTTTTTATGTACAACTTAACTTTTCTTGTACACTTTGAAGTTGTTACGATGCAATGTCACACAGCCTGAAGTGAACCAGACAACACCTTCTACAGGCATCAACAAGAAATCAAGATAAACAAACTCATTACTGGAAAGTCAATTAATGGAGATGTTTGAATCAACCTGGGGAAAAACTCTGTAACTGAGAGAATATGTTGTCTGGGGTGACCTCATGATGATTTACTGCTCTGAGGTCAGCTGAGGATTGTTCATGCTCGGTCACAATTAATTCTGCATTACAATCAATGTGACTGACTGGTTACACCTCATATTTCCCTCAGTAAATAAAAAACCCACAAAGACATGTTATCAGTTCTGAAAGGCCTTATGTCCTGGACTAATCTTAAAGAGGGTCTGTCAAACCGCTCATATGACCTTTCAGTGTAATGAGTGTGTAATCTAGTGATGCCTAAACTCATCTTTATCCACACATTCATTCAGCTCACCTTCATTTATCATGATGGAGTGAACAATTCGGCCCACTGTGTCAGTGTTGCCTTCACTGAAGGTGTCATTCAGATCTGACAGAGAGAGAAAGAGATGGGTTGTGTTAAAAATGGAAGAATAATACTTTGAGCTATTGAATATTGGTCAACTTGCCTTTGTTAGAAAAAGAAAATAATTAAGTGAACATTGAATTAAAAGTGACATCCGTTTTTGAAAAGCAAAAAGACCCACTCAGTTGGTTTAGTGTTTTATGTCATACAAGCAGAACCAAAGCAGAAATGCGGCACAAATCATCCATAAAAAGTGTGCGGGTTTAACAGCCTTTGTCTCAAACTGCCATCATAAACCAACTGTTATTAGTGGTTGTTATTTAATGACACTCAATATGCAGGCGGTATGAAATATTGTATTTTCTGACACAATAGTACTAAAAAGGACTTGCTTATGATCGCAAAAAAAACTAACATTTACAATACTAACAATAAATATAGTCTGTTGGCATCAGTGAAAGGCCTCATAAAGGCATCTGGAGATGGAAGAGATGGCGAACTCAAGAGTGGGCCGCTTACAGAAAACACACACACACACCACCCATGTCCTTCCTGAAGCCATGGGCCCCTGCTGGAAGGGACAGACTTCCTGTGTTGGATTTGCTCTCACAGCTGAGGATCAGACGGGGAAATGTGTAGTTCTGGAGTCATATAACGTTTATGATCTGCCTTCTGTTTTTGTTACTTTTTATTTTTATTGCATGTATTAATCTACAGCTACATAATTTCCATACACATTGACAAAATACATACAGTCTAGGTTTACTAACAACAACAACAACAACAAATTACACCCACAATTATCACCCCAAAGCTGCATTTCAGTTTCTCTCTAATCCGAGCCACAATCATTATAAACCCCATCCACTGAGCCCAAAGATCCTGATGAGAGCACAAGCTCATAGAAGTGGGTGAGTGGCTCTGATTACTCTCACTAGTTCAAAAAGACATTCTGATAAACAAACAAATAAATAAATAATTCAAAAAGAAATCTAATCTTAGTCTCATTTACAGCATTGTTAACAGCATTTATATTTACTAATTGTTAACTATAATTAAAACTATTAAAATCATTTTTTTGTTAATTGTAATAAAACTAATATAAAACAAAAAAAAATAGATATTAGATTAAAAAAAATTATGAAAGGCTTTGAAGAAATGTTGCCTTGGCTACTCACTGAAAAAAAGCTATATTGAATGGGGGGGGATATATATGTAACTAGTGCTGAATCACATGCAATGAGATATGATCCAAAGATTTGAAGACAAAGAAAAAGAGGAGGAGAGAGAGTAAAAGAAAGAGAGAGGGTTGTGTCAGGTTAAACAAGTCCACACACACACGCACGCACGCACGCACACACACACACTTTTAAGTTTCCTAGAATTCAGACAATGCCACATGAACATTCCTAGAAAAGCATGCAAACTAACATATAGACTTACAATTGAAAAAAAAATACACAAAAAAAATTATGTGGTAGATCCTATATCTTAATTGAGGATGATAAGATGATAAGAAGAGAATGCGGGACAGTTTACTGGAGCTAAAATGCGCCCTAGACACAACCTTAGCAGCAGTACACAAACAAATATACAGTTTTAAATGACGCAAAGACAAAAACGACTACAAACAGTAATGTGTGAGCAAAGTGAACACTGAGAACAATACAATTTGCACTGCTGTGGCCAGCCCAGTTCTGAACCACAAGGTGTGTCAAGTTGAATTTCTCTTCCTATAGCTGGTAAAAGTTTAAATGTATTCTTTAGCATACGTGATGTGACTTTGGCAGGGCCTTATGCTATAGCCAACTCCCAAAAACTCCCTAAGACGGTGATAGGAAGGATGATGAAGAAACACGACTCAGCAGCGGAGTATAAAGTATTGTCTGTTCTCCAGTCTATAAATGATGATACTGAAACTGATTATGTGAATACTCAAGATACAATCACAGGCGTGTCAAAACAACGAGAAGATGAGCAACTTTAATGAGATAAAATAAGACAAGCATGATAGCAAGTGTGTTAGGGGAGGCTACATTTCTGGGAGTCTTTCTTTTCCATGACATTTCTTCACCTCTCTTCCTAAAGAATGTCTGAAAACAAGAAAAACAAAACTGCTTCCAAGTGGCCTGAATATAAATAAAATATAAATGTCAGCTTAAATCCACCATCCCACAAGCACTTGAAACACCATGGAATGAGGTCACGCATCCACTTGTAACCTTCAGTGGTCCTTCGACTGATTGTATTGTCCATAATAAAACTCACAGGAATTGCATAATGAAGTGCCATTTGTCTGAGAGGAAGTTTGACCTTCTTCAGCCGTTTCAAGAAACATGGTCAGTATATGCAATCTAATGTTAACCTAATGTCAGCAAAACACCCTCACCTCCTTTTTCTGGATCGTTCTCCTCTTCGTCGTCCTCTTTATCCAGCTCAACATCTTCCTCTGCCTCAGTTGTACAGCGGTACCCCTTCTTCTTCAGGATGTGGCAGATAAGGACACCCAGTAGCCCCAGCAGGAAGAAGAAAAGCACCAAAAAAAAGGCAATATACTCTGGGTTAACGGAGTTCCCATCACCATAGCCATCTAAAGAGAGAAGAAATTAATCAATACAAAAAAAAAAGTTCTATACGGTACAAACTGATAGACGGATTAGATGGATTTTATAGTTTGAAATCAAAGACAGTTTGACCCACTACAACACCTGACAGTTCCGGGGCTTTGTTTTCATATCTGTTGGCTTTTATATGCTAGTATACTCCACATGACAATGACAACTTGACGGATGCAGTACGTCCAGATTACATTCATACATACATTCATGCTATACAGAACATTCCTTTTTAACAGTTGTGAAATAATTACTTATTTAGCAGAAGTACCTACTCGGAATATATACGATTTTGGATGCAGCTTCTGACTAGCAATAGCAAGTAGCTAATCATGGTTCATGATTGCAACAGCGCTATTTATACAGTTGTTATAGAAACCCCCCCCCTCTTTAAAATAAATCACATTTTGTTGCTTTGCAGCCTGAAATGAAGACGGACAGTTTTTGTTTTTCAGTTCAGTTTTTGTTCCAGCTGTATTTACTCAGTGCAACTTATAACATCCAAGTAAAAGACACAACACCAACATATCAGAAAACAAAAAATAAATAAATAAATAAAAAATCTGAATCACTGAGTTGGAAAAAGGATCACCCCTTTGTGTCAGTATTTTGTTGAACCATCTTTTGCTTTAATTACAGCATTTAGTCTGTTGGGATATTTCTCTACTAACTTCTAGACTTTGCAATATGTGCCCACTTTTCTTTACAGAACTGCTCAAGTTCAGTTAAGTTTGATGGTGACTGATCGTGGACTGTAGTCTTCTAGTCATTCTACAGATTTTCAGTGGGGTCTGGGCTCTGACTAGGCCAATGCTGTGTGCTTTGGGTCATTATCATGTTGAAAAGTAAACCTTCTCCCCATTGACAACTTTCTGGCAGAGGGCAGCAGATTTTCCTCAAGAATCCATTTCCCCATCCATTTTTCCTTCTATGCTGACAAGTGCTTTTTTTCTTGCAACCCTCCCATACAAGCCACATTTGTGGATAATTTGTGATATTGTTGTCACATGCACACAATGACCACTCTTTGTCATAATTTCCTGCAGCTGCTTCAGAGTTGCTGTAGACCTCTTTGTAGTCTTTCTGAGCGGTTTCCTCCTGACTCTAGTATATTTATTTGTGTGTGTGTGTGTGTGTGTGTGTGTGTGTATTTAAGTAGTTTGAGTGTGTAGGGAGACTGACTACACATTGTTCGCAGTGCTTCATGGGAGTTGGTTAGCGCTAGTGTTCTTATTGTGTGATTTGATTGTTTGTTGGATATTTCTTTGCAGAATCATATGTAATGTAGTTTCTCTTCAAGAATTCCACTGCAAAACAATAATTTAAAAAAAATAGTTCAAATAATACAGGCTTATGTCTTCAACAAAAGCAAATACCACCAATTTACAACCTTGTAGTTCACAGAAAATTAACAGAATTTTTACTGTTGTTAAAAAGGGGAAATCCATTTGATAACATGGAACAAGGAAGACAACTGAGTTTGTCAAGTTATTGGAATGTTTAAAGGGGTCATATGATGCGATTTCAAGTTTTCCTTTCTCTTTGGAGTGTAACAAGCTGTTTGTGAATAGATAAGATCCCTAAAGTTGCAAAGACTAAAGTCTCAAACCCAAAATTATATTCTTTAAAAAAGTTAAGACTCGTCCAAGGCATTGATAAAGCCTTTGAAACGTTTTTGTATCCATCTCCTGACTTGTGCCCGTCCACAACGTTATCCCAGAAATCTTTTGAAGGGTGCCCATAGTTGATTGTTTGCTTCAGTTGCACTACCAAGGACTGAAATGCTCCATGAAAGCTCTTTTCACACTGAGCTAATAAAAATAACCACAGAT